TTTCCCCCCACCCTTTTGAGAAAACACAGCTAGAAATGAGGAGGGCTGCACAGGAAACAGTCACGAGGCAGGAGGCTCAACTACATCTAGGGGAGTCTTTTGCTCTTATTTATCTAGAGGTATTTATTGATTTTTCCTTCCTTTCCAAAAATACTGGTTTAATTTATGAGGTGATAGAAGAGGTTGGGAGAATAATTTTACCTATAAGAGCACAACATTGTCCAACTAATTGCCCAGGAAAAAGAGAAAAGATCTGCTGATCTACCCCTGCAGATGTTTCTCATCTGGAATACAGACCAATTCCAGCCATTTATTTTTTCGATTACTGTTTATTTTGATGCTTTATTACACTGCCATTACCAGGAAGGAAATGGTCCACAGAAATCCAGCAAGATATTGTTTCTACTTTGGTAATATTTATTCAGTAACAATTTGGGATTGAACAATTTCTCCCCCTTTTTTTTTGTATAATTGTGAGCCCTCACTTCTATCCTTCACTGGGAACAATTAAACATGCTGGTGGGATATGGGCTGATGCCCATCACGGTTGTTATTAAAGTACCTGAAATTTTATACAGACATTAGTGCTCATTTCCAGAGTGTAACTAATAAGGACCTGTTGGCTTTTTTTGCCACCTAGTGCTTCTGTCCCTGCATTACTGTGGAGGGTTGTGTGTGTGAGGAGTGAGGAACCATATGCTGCAGCTCCTCAGCCGAATTCTTGTTGGATTTGTCAGTGGGGTTTCCTTGCACAAGTGAAATAAACTCAAACCTTCCCTGTTTTCCTTGAGAGCCACCAAGGGCTGTGGCAAACCTTGCATGTGCTGAGTGGGAGGCAGCAGGTTGAGAGAGCACCTCTTGCTTCTGGAATCCCTGTGATCTGGATTTTAAACCTGGTGAATCCTCCTCCATGGAAGAAGCTGAGCTTGTTGATGTTCTGTGTGTTTGATAGGATGGTGCATGTTCCTACTGTGGACAGATTTTCAGATCTTTTAGCTGGGCACACAGAGCACATTTATCCTCTGGGTTAGCAGCCAGTGATGCTCCAACACGCCTAAGCTATGGCTCCATATGATTAAAAAGGGCTGGAAAATTAAGTACAGGCAGAGCCAACAATCCTGTGCCACTTTATTTCTCCATATTTCTACTGTAGCTTTTGGTGTGCTACATCTGCCTCACACACTTGCATTTACACCCACAGGAACATGTAATTTGTAATTTAAGGTGGTGCTGAGCGCTATAGCTGGAAATGGGCAGACTTGCACTTGTATCTAAACTGGGTGGTTGCAAAAGTCCTGGTTGGATTTGGGGGGGTGTGTTCATACCAAGGGATGGTGCAAGACCTCCCTTCCCTGCACAGGCTCTGCCTTGAGCAAACCCTGCAGTACAATGGAGCTGTTCTGCTCCAAAGGGGAGCAGGAAGGTGGGTGGATTAGGAAATATTTTATATTAGTGATTTTTTTTTTCCACTGAGCCATGTCACATTCTAGTCCCACCATAGTTTTATGGCTACTTGCCTGCCCCTCCCTGTGAGCAGCAGACCTGATGTCCATCATCCATCCGTGTGTCGAAGGCAAGCTCAGGGTAAGTGCTTTAAAATGCTCTGCAGTGATGATGACTGTGGGATACAGAGGCACTGACAGACTCCTGCAGTGGGTAATATATTGCTTTTTGGTCCCTGGTGATGGCATCCAGACCTCCCAACCTTTCATAATCCACAAATGGAAAAGTGGCACTTAAAATGAATTTATTCAGGTGGGAGCACTGTAAAACATGAAAATAAGGCTTTTGACTTGCTGCACCTACACTTGAGTGTCAATGAAAAGCTTTTTATTTGGTTTTAGAGCCAGACTTCCAGAAGTCAATGTGCCTTGTGGTCTGGAACCGTGTGTTATGGGAGGCAGATCGGAGCAGGGCACGGACAGCAAGGAAGGGATTGGTAATGAAGCTGCACAGTGAAAGACCAGAAAACCTTTGGGCATCTGATAGGAGAATGTTTGCCTGGGGGAGGCTGGAAATGGGAGATCAGCGGTGGGAGAGACAAAACCCCAAATGAAATTCCTTTGGGATTAATAAGTAAGTCTTCATTTGCATGCCATCATTTTTTCCCCCGCTTTGGGCAGTGGGATCACCCAGCATGCTCTGTCTGCTGCCTCCCTGCTGGGCAGCACAGGGGCATCTGCTGATGGAGCTTTCAGCTCTGCTGAACCTGAGGAGCTGCCAGTACCCTGAAGAGAAAGAAGAGAACGGAAAACCAACGGTGGCGATGCAGGGAAGGCGAGCAGGCGCGGTTTTCCCTTGACCGCTTATTTGATTTGACACTGTCCTTAAACACAAGGTCATTTACAGCCTGCCCGAGGGCTGCCAGACGAGGAAGTTACCTTGCGAAGGAAGGAACTAGCCCATACTGTCTAAATATTGTCAATTGTGTGCTGAATGGAGGCCACAGCTTGAGGAACCTCAATAGTAGCTCTTTGTGCCCCGGCCGCCTCCTGCCAAAGTACTTTCCATAATTAGGCGTAAAACATATTTACATTCCTGCCGTCCTTGGTCCCGGGCACACCTGTACGTGTGTCTGTGTGTACATGTATGAGGTGCAAGCATATATATTCCTGTGCATTTACAGTGTGTGTTCCTGCCTGGCGCTCATGGGAATGGCTGCAGCAACCAATGGAGGTAAGTGGGACGTGTGGGACAGTCGGGGGGGTGTAACAGTGAGAGGAGGAGAAATCCATTGGATTCCTCCCTCTGCCAAGCAAGAGTATAATCCTGATATAGAGAGATACTGTGTTTTGTCTGAATCAGAAGGTCCGGGCTGAATGCTCCCTTTTAAAATTCATTGACGTTTGCATGGAAACCAGAAAAATGGGCTTAAGTCAAGAATGCAATAACCTCACTCAGAACTGCTCTCCATGGCAGGCACTCATCCGCTTACAGCCGTTCTGCTCGCAGGGAGATAAATGGAGGAGTAAAATACTGTGTATGGCTGCATCGCCTGCGTATTTATAACACAGCGGTTGATGTACAACAGCTTTTCCGTGCACGTTTCTCCCCCTCCCTCTATGATAACTTGCAGCCAGACATTGATTAGTTCAGTTTGGGGGGAAAAAGAGTCGTGCAGGACAACTGGATACTTCAGCAAAGAGATTCCTGAAACGTGTCCAAGGGAGAACTGAGTGGTCACGTGGCACTGGCTCTGTGCCTGCTTCCAGCTGCCGAGTTTCATTAGAAGACAGCCAAACTACATTAATTAGTTTTCTAACATAACTTTCCTGTGCAGGCAGTGCTATGGCTTTCACAGCCATGCACGGGGGCAGAGGAGATAGTCTCTACAATGTGTGAATGATGGCCATGATGTAACCACTCTGTCAAGATGTGTCCCCTTCCTGAGGCTCCCAGGTGCCCACCTTGGTGGTGGGATCATGCTGGAGGGACAGGGGTAGGGAAGGCAGCCTGGTCTAGGTTTGGGCTTTCCCCAAGTTCAGTGTGGCTCCAGATCTAGAGCTCTTTCCAAACTGTTTTCTACAGAAGGTTGTAGCGAGGTGAGGATGCGTCTTGTCTTCCAAGTAACAAGGAATAGAACAAGAGAAAACTGCCCCAAGTTGTGCCAGAGAAGGTTTATTTTGGATATTAGGAAAAAATTCTTCACCAAAAGAGTTGTCAAGCATTGAGTCAGGCTGCCCAGGGAAGTGGAGGAGTCACATGTTAAAAGACATGTAGATGTGGCACTTGGGGACATGGGTTAGTGGTGGCCTTGGCAGTGCTGGGGGAATGATTGGACTTGGTGGTCTGAGAGATCTTTTCCAACCTGAATAATTCTGTGATTTCTTCCTCTATGATTCTACCTCTATATGAAGTCTCCTCTGACAGATCTTCCCAACAATGATTTCAGACAAATACCCTAAAATGGCTACATTTGTGTTCTTATCTTTAGGGCAATCAGAAGAGATACCCACAAAAGGACCAGGGTAATCTCTGCTCCTGTTGCAAAACTACTTGTAATAATTCTGCAGAAATTCAAGGAAAAAGTCGTGCTCAGTCTAATCATGAGTTTACTTTTTCTCCGGATGCTTTCTGAGCTCTCAGGCACTTAATGGAAACACCAGTGCTCACACTTGGAGGGCAGGCTGGAAAGTTTGCGTGGGCTTGTGCATGTGCCAGGGAGTCAATTTTTGTCCGTCAGAAGCCTCTTTCCATTATGCTTTTGTCAGACTTTGCCTCTGTAAAGGGGAATTCAGGCTTTCCATGTCAAAGCCCTCTGCAAATGTTACCCAAGACCTCTTGTCAGTGCTGTATTTTGTACCAGGAACACCTACCAGTGCTACCAGGAGCAGGGAGGGCAGGACTAACACTCCTGCCCTTTGAGGGAAATGTCTGATATTTGGGATTTTTCATTCTTTCCTCCCTTGGCGTTCACCATTTCGGATGCAGGCTCCTGCTCCTGCTCTCTTTAACAGCTTGTTTTTCCTCTAACCACTTCCAGCTCCAAAACCTCTCTACATCTTCTCAATGTAAATACACTTTAGCTTGCCCAGCACAGGCTGTGGAGACAGTAGTGACCTTCAGATGAGCGCAAAGCATTTCAATTTGACCTACTTTGCTGCAAAATGGGTTTGGCCATGGCAGGGCAGCTCTCTCTTCCTTCCTCTCCTCTTGGTGAAGGTCCTTGGGAAGCCCCAGGCACAACATGGAGGAGATGCCCCATGTGAATGGGGGAGCAGGGCTTAAGGAGGATAAAAACCTCAGGGCTTGAGTTTTGGGTGCTGTTTGCGTAGCCTGATGCAGACAGGCTGAGTGCTGGGTTTCTCTGTAGTGCCAGGTTTTATATTTGCAGCTTTTGTTTTTTGAATGTGTCTTTAAAAAAAATCTACTGTAACACAAAATGTCCTTCACTGAATATTCATTTTTCATTTACTACCTAAATTTTTTCTCTTTGGTTGCTTTCCTCAAGGATGCTTGTGTGAAGGGAGCAGCTGCAGGAGGAACCAGGCTGCCATGGTGCTTCCCAAGGCTACTTGGCTGCACCAAGAAGAACCCTGGTGGCTTTGTCAGATTTCCCTTGTCTTCTGTAAGATCTTTGGGGCAGTGCAGGTACTGCTTTGCTTGGGTGTTTATAAAAAGGGCTGGCCTTTCTTCTGGACGTCTCAAGAAGACAATCCTAAGTGTAGAGGGGTTGTAATACCCCAAATCTCCTTATTTGAGTTTGTGTGTGTATATATATGTATATATCATCTCTGTATATATGTATATATATATACATATATGTATATAATAGCAGCCTTCCAGTACTTAAAGGCTCCAGGAGAGCTGAACTTCAGACAAGGGCCTGGAGTGACAGGACAAGGGGGGAATAGCTTTCAACTGAAAAAGGGCAGGTTTAGATTAGATATTAGGAAGAATTTCTTCCCTGTGAGAGTAGTGAGGCCCTGGCACAGGTTGCCCAGAGAAGTTGTGGCTGCCCTATCCCTGGGAGTGTTCAAGGCCAAGTTTGAGGCTTGGAGCAACCTGGGATAGTGGAAGGTGTCCCTGCCTCTGGCAGGGGGCTGGAACTAGGTGATCTTTAAGGTTCCTTCCAACTCAAGCCATTCTGTGTTTCTATGATTCTAGGAGTGTATTAAATGGGAATAATTTAATAAATATATGCTAGAATTGCTTAGGCCTTTACATTTTGCTATTTTCTGCAGTACTTGTTTCTCAGGAGCACTGTGGGGTGGCCTCTCTGGAAGTATAATTGTCTTTTGTTTGGGTACATGTGTCTTTAAAATGAAGTTCTCTCCTTATCTCAAGTTTAAAGTGCAAAATTCCCAGGTTGGAAGCAAGTTAAAATTTCCTATTCCAGCTGCATCTGCATTCAGTCTCAGGAGAAGATACTTGGCTGTAATTTGAAAAAAATAATAGAAATTGATATTGCAGGTAAAAAGGAGCAACTGAAGAAAAATATCATTTCAAAAGACCCTCAAGAAATTTTCAGGATAATTTTCACTTATTTCTGAATAATTCCTACCACTGGTCAACCACTAAAAATTACAAAACCGACCCCAAACCCACGCCCCTGCTGATAAAAGCCATGGACTTGCTTGTAGCTTATCTAATGCCTGAACATCTGTTTCTCCCTTGCCGAGAGGTTCTCTTGGATGAGTTAATGCAATTCCCTATGCAAAGGTTAAATAAAGTTGAGAGGCTCCAACTGGTGGCGTTGTGCCATGAAGGCCTGTGCTGCAAAACCAACTTTACCATGGAAATGTCCAATTTTAGTTCAGAAAGACATTCAGGAGGGGAAAAAAGTCACCCAGCCTAAGGCTGGGCTGCAGTGAAGCTGGATTCAATGACCTTAGAGGGCTTTTCCAACCTTAATGATTCTGTGATTCTGAGCTTTCTAGATATTCCAGTATGGAAGGGGGGCTTTGGAAAATGCTCTTTCCCTGGGTCTGAAGAGCTGGTGCTGGTGCTGGTGCTGAGCTCTGCAGCCACTTCCTTCTGCTTGGGCAGCGTCATTGTCTTCCAATGGGATGGGCTTGGAAGCTGAATGCCTGTTCTTGGTGATTGTGTAGTATGTGTGCACAGGATTATTTAATACTTTTTTGATTATTTAACAACATTTGGCATGTTTGACAGCAGGGCCTTTTATGACTGGAACAGCTGGAGGTGGGAAAGGCTGCTGGGTGATTCCAATACCGAGTCCTGGAGCTGCTGGGCTGATCCCTGGGTGTTGGGAGGCAGAGATTCTCCACGTGACATTGACATGGCTGTTCCCATGGGGACATCACACCTGTGTGTGTGTAACTGTCATATATCTGTAACCTTGCAGTGAGATCAGGATGGCCTTTGGGAAGAAGGATTCCAAGCCAGCTACCCCTCTCCTTCATTCCCATCACTTCCCCCTTGAGCTTTCCAGCCCACAGTGACCTCAGAGGAGCACAATGGGTGTAACCACACAAGGTCCCTGTAGCCCAGAAGCCAATGTGAGGTTGTGCCTGTGTCCATGAGCTGTTGCAGAACGCTGTGTCCACACTTTCACTTTTCTGCCCTTTCCTTTCCATCTCGGCTTTCGGCTCCTCTGGCTCCACATCCTGCAGGGCCGCACTTCACACGCGGCAGCAAGAGCATCAAAGAGGAGATCCTGAATAAACCCACTGCTTTATGACATCTCTTCAAAGTGCCTTTTTAAAAGTTCAAAGGACACGAGGGAAGGAGGGGATCAAAATCAAAGGAAGATGGGGGGAGGGAAATTAAAGCCTCAGAGGAACTTTATGGCATGTTTTCTGTAACACTTTCAATGCCAAATTCACAAGTGTTCCCAGCACCAGCTCTTCTCTTGCCATCAGACTCCCTGATGCAGCAGCTTCAGGGCAGCTCAGTACAGGGCACCCACAATGTCACTATTTCGTTAATTTTTTTGTAAGACCAAAACTTCCTGTTCTGCCTCCAGGACAAGGGAGAGATCCTTGTTCTGTACCAGCTGGAAGTCCTGGAGCTGACAGTAGAGTTCACCTTTAATGAAAAGCTTTTTTCTTTTTTTCCTCAGGAATGCATCTCACTCTCCTCTCTTTCTGTCTTCTACTGCAGGGCCATTATTTTGTCTGTGTTTGGGAAATTTCCGTTACTGTTTGGGAAAAGGGACTTCTCCCGAGTGAAGGGGATCTGACTTGAAGCAAGAGAAGAGAAGCAAAACCTCTGTGTCAACACCCCAGAGACCATCTAGAGACTCAGCTTTACTTATGAAGACAGGAAAGAAATGCAAATAATTGAGGTGTATGCTTAATATTCAGTTAGCTCTCATAATTTTGTCATTTTCTGCTTCTCTGTGTCTGTTTTTAACATATTAGGAAAAAGTGATATATGAGCCAAGAGAAAAAAATCAGGCTGGTTTTGACCCAGGATCAAACCCTCTTTACTGCTGGGCATGTGCCCACTGAGGTGGAACCACATCCCTGCTGTGGGGAGCAGAGTGGGGCAGGGCAGGGCTGAAGCTGAAAAGGGCAGGGATGTACATTGCTAAATGGCTTTGCCAGTTTCTGTTACAAGTTCAGGAACTTTCAGGCTTGTGTATTTAAATGGAAAGACTGAGAAGACATTTGTCTCAGAAATATCTGAGAAAAAAAAATGGGTCTTTGTGGAGGGATGGAAGGCTCCTGCTCCAAAGAGCTGCGGAGAGTTTCCTCAGCGTTCCGTGGGCTGTGGAGGAGCAGCCTGTGGATCCAGTTTGGTGCTCACCATGTTTACAACCATCAGTCAGCAAATGCATTTCCTCCATAGGGGTGACTGTTTCCTCATCCCATTGCTTTTCCAGAGTCTGTGGAGCCAACATGTGTGTGTTCCTGCAGCAACATTCAGTCCTCATCCTGCCCAGGTAAGCTCACCTACAGAAAGTGCTTTTCCCACAGGTGCTTTCCAGGGCTGCTGCTTGGAGAATGGCAGAAAACTGTTGCTGAATTCCCTTCTCATTAATTCATTCTCTTGTTTTTAATATACTGAACTGCACACCTTGCCCTGTGTGCTCTGCTTTAGGCAGGCATCCAAAATTAGTCCACAGTGGTGCATATATGGGAGATAAAATTCTGTGTGTGTTGGGCTGTGGTGGAGGTCCTGTGCTGTGCTGTGTGGGTGGTGGTCTGGAGGACAACTACTGCCAAGAAAACAAATTAATTTGCTTGTTTTTCACCCAGAGAGGTCCCAGTTTCACTAAATAGCACTGAAAAGGACACCTCAAGGTGAAATTCAGTAAGTTTTTAATATATGTCAGCAAGAAGATAGTTTTATTCATTGGTTAGGGGGAATTTAAGGCATGTGGAGTAACTAATCAGATTGGGACCTGCCTTGGAGACTGGAGCTGGGACCTGTAAGGTTTGTTTACAAGAGGGGATTTGCATCGAAGCGAGACCCTTTAATATAAGCTCTTTATATTAATTGGTTTGAAGCAGGTCTGTCTCAATGAACAGATGGCTTTATTTCCCTCGCGGTCCTCCAGGCCACGTGGGGGGATTTCCTTTCCAAACGCGCCGTCAGCAGTGGGGACAGGCACACAAAGTCACATCTTGTGCTGTGCCAGGGCTGGGGCACGGTGGGACTGTCCTGGCAGTGCCTGGTGGGCAGCGCGGGGGAAGGAGCCCTGTGGGCTTACCAACCCCATGGCTGCTCTCTCAGCATCCCATAATAGCACGATTGTTAAAGGATGTGGCGGTGTTTAGGAGGTTATTAATGGCTTCCCACGGGAACTGGGAGCCTGGTGATTTCCACCCATCCACCTCACCCAGGGTCCAGAAATAGAAAGGGGCTTTTTTGTGTTCCCCTACGCCTTGCTCAGCCACGGCTCCAGCAGCGGTGACACAGGCTACTGTGGGAATGCTCCCAGTGCTTGGATGTTGTTCCTGCTGGGGGGAAGAGCAGTGAGTCAGCAGAGCTAAAGACGTCTATGGGTGATGTCAGTGCTTCCTCCCAGCTCTGGGACACGCAGTTCCTCTCTGCTGTCACTGCTGGTGATACCTTACATGGGGCATTTGGGTTGTAAGGCAGAGCTCTCAGAGCAGTAGCCCTTGGAGCATCTCCATGGCTTCCTCTGGACTCGCTCCAGCAGGTCCACATCCTTCCTGTGCTGAGGTCTCCAGAGCTAGACACAGTGCTCCAGGTGGGGTCTAACAAGAGTAGAATAGAGAGAGGAATCACCTCCCTAGACCTGCTGTCCACCCTTCTTTTGATGCAGCCTAGGAGGACATGGTTGGCTTTCAAGTGACAAAGGCTTTGGTGCTCAATGGCAGCTCAGTGGGGCTTTCACAAAACTGGAGGGTTGATGAGATGTTAATTGGATAGACTCAGAGTGCTCCCTGTTGCAGGTGGGCTGCAGCGTGGCCTCGGTCCCAGATCTGTGCCGAGTCTATTTCATTATTGTGAGTGTTGCTACGAGATGATTCCCCCTGGAAGCTTCCAGACGTACACAGATGTGAACTGGTGTAGCAGGGAGGAAGACTCCCTGAAACCCAAATGGCAAATGAAAATCTGTTTGGGAGTCCTCAGCCAGTTACACAGGAACTCACAAAAAGTCAATGCTGGACACAGGGTATGGCCATTTCCCAGGAAGGTCCAGCACTGCCTCCTGTTTGAAATGTCCTTTCCTAATGAAACTGTTTTTCTGTTCTTTTCTTAGGCTGCAAATGGTTATGCAAATTTTTAAATATTTTCCTACTTCCCTTTTCAGATGTCTAACATTATGTATTATTTTCTGATACTTACCTAACCTGGGAAATCTGTTTTCCATCTCATTTTAGCCAAGGTTTTCTTTTTAACTACTCCTTCCCAGTATTTTCCTATAACACTTCTGGTTCGCTGAGTGAACTTTGCAGTGTGAGGGTAAATGAAAGTGAAAATGTATTGCTTGTCACACACTGGCTGTTTAGAGAGGGTTTGGGGTTTTTCTTCCCCTCTGGATTTGAAGAGGGAGATATAAATCATTGATTTAAAACCAGGGTAATTTAACAAGATTATAGGAGAGGGAAAATCCACTTCCTACCCAAAGTAACAGTCTCTTAGGTCTCTCCACCTACACAAGCCATATGCATCCTCCAAGCCGCCCGAGATCCTCTTTTGTGTTTTTCTGGCAGGACTGTGGTATAATAATTAAAGTCCATATGCAAAGCTTTCTCGGCGGGACTTTTAATTGCTTTGTAATTGGTCAGAGTGTTACCATTCATCAGCCCCCAGCCTGCTCTGCTGGGTTTGGAAAGTCCCAGACATGGACGGATATTAAAAGCTCAGAAACCCAGGTCGGAGGGATGTGATCAGGGATTGCCTTTTCATGCCATCTCCCTTTTTAACAAACATGACTGTGCTTTTCTTTGCCAGGAGCAAAGCTCTGGGATGGGGAGAGCAGTGGGATTTGTGCTGCAGTGGTGTGTGTGGGATGTTGTATCCAGAGGATTCCGTACTGGTGCAGAGGGGTGGAGAGGGGATTGGCAAAGGGAGCACTGATCCCTGGCTGGAATTGCTGGTTTCCAGTTGTGGGGAGCCTTTATGGTGACCCCTGGGTAGAGCATGGCATAACAAAGCTCCTCACTAGGAGCACTGGAATGCCAAAATCTCAGGCATCATTTGGTCTTGGTCACATCATCCAAATTTACTTGGCCCTTGCCACGATGGTCCCCCTTCTCCCGAGGGATGGTGGCTCCCAGGTGACACAGCACAGGAGGCAGAGGCTGTGTGTGTGCAGGTTGGTGTTTCTGGAGACCAAATACCGAGTGTCCTAGAAACAGGTACAGCAAGAGTTGTCAGCAGCTCTGCTACACCTGAGCAGAGGCACCGTCAAACGAGACACCGTCAAACTAATACATATCCTGTTCCTGCTATTCCCATTCTTGTTGGGAGTCAGGACTCTCACAGTGCAGGGACTGGAGTCAACTGATATTTTTAATAGTTGTAGCAACCCACCCATAATCCTTTGATTCTGGGATCTGGAACTCAAAGCCCAGCTCTTGTAAAATAAACATGGGCGTCACTTTGGTTGTCAGTTCAGCAGTAACATGTCACAGAAAGAGGTGTCTTGGAGCCTGCCTAACTCCGACTGGCAGGACAGGCTTCCAGCAATGAATTTTCAATGAAACATTTTTCTAATTATAGCAAATTATTTTTACAAACATTTTCCTGGGAAGAGAGTCTGAAACTAGGGCCAAAAAGGAGAAGGCTGGGATTTAGGCAGTGCCTGACAAAAAAAAAATAAAAACCAGACTGTATGGTAGTTGTCTTTTATTATTAGGCCAACCTGTAAACTTCAAATGAATGGATTCTAGTGAACTTCATTCCACCATGACCAGTTTGTGTTGTTGAAAAATTGGAATGGCTTAGAATGGTGCCATCAAATCCAGCTCTTCCCCTCCCTCTCCCCACGTGGTCCCGGGACTCCCCAGCTGCAGGGGTGGATGGCAGAGGAGTCATGGGCAGAGGTGACAGACAGCAGCTGGTCATCAGCAATGCTAGTACAACCTGAGCAGAACTTCACGTCCAATGGCCCCAGATGCAAATTATTTCATATTTATTCTCCTCGCCAGATGTTGCAGCAAACTTGTATTCTTTTTCCAGAGCAGAGCCACCTCTCCCGGTCACAAACGCACTTGATTTTGGGGTAAATGAATGAGTAATCTTAAGTTACCACTAAGAGAAGTGTAACCACCCATCTCTGGATGTCCCACGCTCTACAGCTGTGAAGGCAGTGTATGTTCATGGTGATGGAAATGGTTCGGCTGTGGGCAGGCTCGGTGCTGCCTGCTTTCTTTTCCAGGAGAGATTCCCACTGGAAGTGCAGGGGCTGGTGATACTGTGCTGTTTGTGGGCTTGCCTATCATCCCATAGTTCTTGTGCTTGGCTGGGGAATTTAATTAGAAGTTAACCATGGAAAACTCCATAATACTTACATAGAGGTGGTGTGGGCTGTGTGTAACCAAGGGACAATCTTAATGCAAACCTGAATATACGTTATTGTTCATCAGGAAGGAGTTAGTTGATTATTTCTAAAACAAGAAAAAAAGAAAAAAAAAGACACCCCCAGCCAAAACCCCAACCACAAACCTCACGGAGGATTTTGAGTCACTAAACCTGGGCAATTCCACAGCAGCGTGGGAAGACGTGGTGTGGTGGATGGTCCTGGTTGAGGGCTCTGCTGGGGTTTGCAGCGTGGGCTATCAGCACCCCAAGAGCCAAGATGGGCTCAGGGAGCCTAGGAGTAACACAGGTGATGGATATTTTATGGCATGTGCTTATTTGCTTGATGAGGAATTTGAGATAAAGCTGTTGCAGGTGGTAGAAACTCATCTAGAAGCCCACCATGAGCACAGGCTCTGGCAAACCCCGTGGCATCTCGCTGGGATGACTCTCATTAAAGCACCTAAGGGTTAAAGATGGACGGTTCCCTCCCCCCCCCAGTAAAGGTAATTACCCACCATCTATTTAGCAGGGAAAGAATTTGCCATTGAGCAGATAGGGCCAGGCTTCACCAGAGCCCTTCAGCCGCCCAACAATATCGCATTACCCCGATTGCATAAAGAGCGCGAGCCATTTCCGCTGGCGGGGCCATAATGGAGGTATCTCTTTACAAAGCCCCCACTTCAGGCCAGCTGAATGCCTCCGCCGAGCCTCCGAAATCCCGCAGCCCTAATCCCTTTAGCAACAAAGATCTGTTTCTTTGCTTAGCATGAAGTAGACCTCAGAGGCCGGTGTGTGCCTTGGCCTGTAGGCCAAAAGCCTCCTGTTTACAATTTCCCTATTCCTGTTTTTAATGTTGTTCTGAGAGCAGCCACAAAGGGCCGGTTTTGTCCAGCAGGAACAAGGGAGCTATTAGAGAGGGACGGAGGAAGGAAGGAAGGGAGATCCAAAAGGAGCAGCCCAGGAGGGATTAGCATACACAGCTGTTCCCTCAGGGACAGGAGCTTTATGCTTTTTATAATTTCCCTCTCATTTACATTTTTTAATATCTGGTTTCCTTGTTTCCAGTCTCCCTTCCCCCCATGTCTCCAGGACCATCTGCCCATTTTATTGGATTTTTTGTTTTGTTTTTCAGGCGGGTGCATCCAGCCCAGTGTGTTCACTGGCTCCAGCTTAAATCCTGCAATCCCTATCAACTGTGGTTTCGCTCACGTTAAGCCCTCTCCCTTGCCTTGCCCGTCTTATCCTGTGACCCTCCATCCAGCCACATCACCTCTCCCTGGCGTGGTGGGAAGGCAACACTGAGCATCCCTGGGTTGGGATGCCCAAGGCAGAGGGTTTTCATCCCTGAATGCACATTGTTCTTGGCTCTGCCAAGACCAGAGGGGAGAATGGTTGAGCTGTTTACAATATTGTTTCATAGACTGCTCAAAAGCAACGTCTGTTTTCCAGAAGTGCAATGAAACATTTATGAGTATGGGACATCGTGCAGCTCCGGAGCTCTGCAGGGGACAAGGGACAGTCACTTTTTTTATGTGCACCACATCCCGGCTTATGTGGGCTGTTGGCAAAGGAATCAGCAGGACACAACTATCTCATTTTCATTTCCCTCTTCCACAGTGGTGATTCCTCAGGTACCCCAGTTTGTGAGGGTGACTGGAACCAGAACCCAGCTCCGGGATGTGGAGGGCAGGAGCTGAGTGAGGCACTGCACTGTGCTGTTCTCCAGATTTGCTTGGCTGGGACTTGCTTCTCTCATGGGCTCTTTCTCTATTTCTATAAGGTACATGAATCCCGGTAAAGCTATGGAGCTACAAAAATCCTATGCCTTCCCATGCGTCCCTCAGGATGAGATGAAATGCCCTCAAGTTGCACCATAAGGATTAGATTGGACATTAGGAAAAGTTTCTTCATGCAAGCATTTTTCAAGCATTGGAACAGGCTGCCCAGGGACGTGGTGGAGTCACCATCCCTGGAAGTACTCAAAAAACATGGGGGTGTGGTACTTGAGGACATGGTGGGCATGATGGTGGTACTGGGTTGATGATTGGACTTGATTTTACAGATCTTTTCCAGACTTAATTATTCCATGATTCTGTATGATTCTATGATTTATGCCAGTGAAGAATGAGGCAAAGCTGAATTCTAGGATTCTATACCTATGCCAATTCACGTTAGCCATCTTAAATATGGACATTTATTGAAAAGAAATGAATAGCACAGCAGGTTTTTCCTTCAGTGTAGAGGAGAGGTTGTGTATCTGCCTCGGCGCTTGTACAGCTCCATTTTGGTTGTTTCCAGTGCTCCAGCCTGTTTCTCGTGTGGAAGTTACAGCAGGTCTTTCCAAATAATGACCTGTTCTTTTCCCAACACAGGATAGCTCCAAAACCCCTTAAGGTAGTTAAAAATATGTATTATAGGCAAATGTACACTCTAACCAGAATTAGCTAAATGTGCGGATAAATCAGAATTTGAGTTTTACTGTGACGTCTATGAATGTTTCACTGTGTCTCCAGCATAAGGGATCCCATTGTATGTATCAAGGATGTCTCAGCTTTTACGTGGTCTCAGCTACATTTCTCAGGATTTAATATTTGAGGTTCCTTCTAGGGACGTATCAAAGAAAAAGCTGGATTTGAACTCCATTCAGAAAGCTTTCACATATTCAGAATTACTTAGTGCTCGTAGAATAATTTGGTTCTGTGGAAGATGTTTAATGAATGTCCTGGCAATGGGTGTTTTGTCCCGTTGAGCAGGAGCCTGGGCTGTGAATGGGACCTGAGCAGCAGAGCAGGGCTGTGGTTTAACATCCTCCCGACTCACCCGGGGACGTCCAGCCTAAACCCTTCCTTCCTGCCCAAAGTGGAATTATCATTAACTTGTAACTAGTTTTCAAGAAGAACATTTTTTTTGGTAGGCTGTGGAGTTCTTCCAAGAATTTTTCAATTTTTACAAATGAAAATATAGGCTCAGCCAGATGCCAACTAAAATGCAGTTACTTTATACCAGCCAACCCAGGCACTGCACCACAGGCTCAGCAGCATGACCTTTAAAACAGCCTTTTTAGAACAAGCTGGGAGAACACTTTCTAAAAAGCCACAATTGCAGCTGCTCTCATTACTTATAATATCCTTGATGGAGAGGAACTTAAAAATAATTCTTAAGGAACTTAAGCTTCAACAACCCCCAGTAGACTCAGTTTATGTGCAGTGCAGGCTTCCTTCGGAGGATTATAGGCTCGGGACGGTGATTATAGTGTTGATGATAATGTACATTTTCTAAATCATTACTTGCTTAAGAATAAAATAAAAGGAGTGAAGCCTTTGCTTCACTTTTCTCATGCAGATGAATGGATCAGGGATTTAGCCACTTGTTTCTAAAAGCAGACGCACATTTCCATGTTCCCTCCACATATTTATTAAACTAACAAGTTTAATGTATATGTAAAATGCATTTGGACACTGTATTTCAAATCAATAGAATAATCTGAGTCATCAGCTCTGTAGATGCATGATTACATACTACTTCCTGGGATTTTTAAAATATTCTTATTTATAATAAGCTACTCTTTAATTAAAACTGGTGTTTGGGATCCAATTTCTTTAGGGCTTTGTGTATGGAAATCTGGGCCCTAATTTTTATATATTCATTAATATCTTGCAGCTTTCCTGACTCCACACCCATCCTGTGCTCCAAAGCTGGTTTGAGGGTGCAGATCAGGATTGTGGCCCTGTTGAACTCAGGAGATTAAACCAACATTAAATCCAAATTATTTTAGTAGAACCAGTGAACATTTTGTACCAATACTGTCAGGACACTTTAGTCTTGACTGAACGATATTTTTTCCATCTGTGAATTTTCTGTTCTTAAATTAATCACAGTAAATATGTTGGGGTATCAATAAGAATTGTCCTGCCTCTTCAGCTTCTTTGAGATTGAAACAAGATACCTTTTCCTTAAACTCATTTATTTTTGCTCATTTTTCTATTCCTCTTTGAATACTCAGCACTTTGGTATTCAAATTTGTCACCTTAAAAAGCTGTGGTTCTGCTGAGACCCTCTGGTCCCCCGACAGCAGCAGGATATTGAAGGATTTGAGCTGTGATCTCCAAGCAGCCACAACCCCCTGCTCTAACCCCTTTCATTTCCACCCCAGATACGGCTCCTTCACCCCTACATTTCCTCCAGGTAGGACTTGATTTCCGAAAGACCTGGTTTCTGACTGCTCAGTCTCTTTCTTCAGTTTATTTTGCCCCAGCAAGGGGCTGCAAGGCCAGCACTGACTTGTCCTTCCCCATGGGATGTCCTTTCCCAGCCCTCAGCTCCTGGGACCACTGCTGCGTAACCTGCCAGCTGTGGGGACAGGGATGTTATTCCGGTGGGGAAGACGGGAACCACAGCTTTGCTCTCCCAGACAATGACTGCTGTCTCCTTCAGTGCATTGTTCTGTGCTGGCAGGAACAAATTAAGGCTTGGTCTTTGCTCCAGGAAATTCCATGTCCTCCCTTGACGGGGTATCTGGCTACACCAAGAGCCTTTCTGCTCCCACAGCAGTGGATCTCAACACCCATGTACAGGACTGGTGTCCTGGGGTGGTTTTTTATTTTAGGGCTGACTTGAGAAGCTTGTCCATAGAAAATGAATAAGTAATTAAATAATTAATAATGAAATAATTTCCAGCTGGATAGCTGGAACACCTCCATGCTCTGGTCAGGGTTTGGAAAGTTGATGGGGTGATGGGACATCAATTTGTGTCTTCCTTCATCCCTCTTAAAACTCTCCCTGAGCTTTGGGAAGCTATGGGCATTTGGCAAAAGATGCTGGTGATGATTCTGGAATGAGCCTGCTCTGGTGTCCTGTGTCCTCCAAGTGAGATGTCTGTATGAGCAGGACCAGACTCTTCCAGTAAGGTTGTGGGGCCAGGGGGAGCCGTGTCACGGGGCACCAGAGCCATAGAAGAGAGGCTTTCTCTTTTTGGTGTGTGTTTGCTGAGACAGCTTGGAGGAAAAAACAGAGTAGGAAATCAAATAGAAAATCTGGATGTTTGGTGGAGGAGGGAAAGCTGGAGTGAAGGCAGCCTGGAAAACCGTGGGGTGTTCTGTAGCCTGAGAGGGGAAAGGGGGGTGATAAGGTCTGGGACAGTGCCAGGAGAACAGGAGGAGGCAGAGACCGTGGAAAGCAGCTGGGAAGAAGCCTGCTTTGCGGGAGGAAATGTTATTATTAGTGCTCAGTTTCCTGAACAAAAGATTCTTGTCTATTTAAATACTTCAGCTTCACGGAGCTGCAGTTCTCCAGACACAATAAAATTTGCCTTTTCTCCCTGTCATTGTCATTTTCCGCTTGCCGCAGGTGGTTAAGGCTCCTGTGCTGTGGAGTAAATAATTTCAGTCTGCTGTGTGGGCTTGCTATGGTCTGGAAACAGAGGGCAAGCCCTGGGAATGAGAGGTTTGTCCCTTGTGTCCCCCTGCATCTGCTCTTGTAGATGCTATTCTTCCACACCAATGCCGATGCTGCTGGTTTAGAGAATAAGATCTATCAGATTTGAATAAAATTGACAAAAGCATAAAAATTCATTAAAAAGTTAAACATCTAGATATAAACTCATCTTAAGAAACCTCCTAGGCCATTCTCAGTCTTCATCAGCCAATCATGGCAGGTTTTATGCTCCAGCAGCAAGAAGCAGAACCTCACTAATTCCAAATAATCTCAGCTAATGGCTAATTTGAATTATTCTTTCCATCCAGGGATGTGCAAAGAACACGCAGAGGTTGGAGTTGCTGCTGTGTGAGAAAGAGACCCAGGTTCTGTGCAAGGTGGTGCTCACACTTGTGCTAGAGCCATCCTTTGGTGAGTGAGGTGCTGCCATGGTCCTGGTGTCTCCATGTGCTCTTGTCTGTGTGCTTCAGCAGGTCAGGCTGTTTTCTGCAGTTTTCCACAGAAATTCCAGATCATTTCATGTTATAGGGGAGAAATGCTTTTTCTATCTGTCTTGAAATGTTAAAATCTGACAGCAATAGTATGGAATTTACTTTGTAGGATCCTGACCTTTTTTTTTCCTATATCCAGGTAGCTTGAGTTTAATGTCAGATCTATCCCTACAGTGATAGAAATGGAACTTTTATTCTATAAAAAGATGGGAGATATCTCACTCTGCTCACTTCCTGATTATAATTGTTCCTTGTTCCAAGCCCTGCAAGACTTTGAAAAGTCAGCCTTCCTGAATGTATGACAAATATAAATATATCGAGGAATCATGGTATATCCTGAGTTGGAAGGGACCCACAAGGATCATTGAGTCCAACTCCTGGACTCGATATAAATATATATTTATATTGAAGTTACTACAAAAGTGCAGATGTACTTAGTGCAGTCTGACAGTGCTGCAGTGGGACTCGTGGCTGTCACGAAGGACACACAGGATGCACAGCTGCTAAACCACTAAAAGCACGTCCTGTCCATCTCAGTGGGGAGGGTTTCTGTGTTGGGATTCTGGAAAACTGAATAATTCACTCGTGGTGAATGAATAAATGAAGGCAACCTACAGTCATGCCAGTTAGATATATTTTTTAATCAGAGAGTTTCAAAAGATGACAACAATCATTCTTTGAACGCTGAGTACGTGGGGATGAGCCGTCAGTGTTTCATGGGCATGAATTTGGTTTGGTAATTTCCCTCAGGGTAGGTAAACCCCAGCTGTGTGTGGCCTTCAGTCTCATCAGTGACGTGTGAGCCCTACCAGTTAATACTTCTATTTCACAGCAGCTTGCACAGTTCTGTGCCTGACTTGTGCTTCTGCAACAGGCTCCATGCAGCACTGCCCCCAGCCCTGCAAAGCTCCGAGCACTGGTGCTGCTCCCCTTGCCCTGGGGGTCCTAGTCCCAGCCAGGACTGACCTTCTCTCTCCTGTGAGGATGAGTGAATGACTCTGCCTCCTTGTTCCAGCAGTCCCAACTTTGCCAGGAGGTAGGGAAGGAGTTACTTTTGACCACAGGAGTAAGTTCTGTGAGCGCTGAGGTAACTTGGGGCAGACAGTAGCTGCTGTTGGAGCTGATGGCAGGGTTGGGAAGCAGAGGAGTACTCAGGCTGTCAGCAGTTCCCTGCCTTCCCTCTGGCTGGGAGCACAGGAACTCTCAGTCTCTGGCCAAGGAACGCCACCCCCAGGTCCTTATCTCTCCGGAAAGTGCAGTGGTGAGATGTTCTGTGCAGCTTTGTAATTCTCCTGACACTCCTCAGGCGGGGCTCTGACACGCTCTGGTTTCCCTCCTGCTTCAGCCGAGCTTGCATGGCTGGAGCTATGGGAATGTGGAGATGCTTGGGTGAGCTGCGCCTCTGTCCCTCACCTGAGGAGGTGACAGCTGCCACAGCTGCCTGTCCTGGGGCAAGGACAGGCATTCAGGGACTCCTTCCAGGTTGTTTGGCTGTGGATAAAAACAGGCAGGAGGCTCAGTGTAGACAAGAACATGTCCAGCGGCAGGAGAAGTGGCCAGATGAGTGGGAGAACTCATGCCAGAGCTTGCCTGTGGTAGTAGGAGCCCAAGGAATAAGGGATTTTTTTTGCCCTCCAGACCAGCTCTGCCTCTCGCTGCTCTGGGGCAGCTGGTGGCCATGGGGACAGCAGTGGCTCCTGAGTGACTGTTGAGTGCATGTTGGCCCTGGTGATGTGCTGAACTGCTTGAGCAAATCATCCTAAAATAGACTTCATATGTGATGCAGAAGAACCCAAGCAAAACACAAAGCCCAGCCAAACCCAAATTTATGCTTGTGGTTACAGAGCTTGTGAGATCAATTTTTTGTTTACTTAAAACTGATTTCAAAGAGGGTTTTTTTTTTCTTTTAATTCTTATTCTTGATCATTGGGTTGGGGGATGGTCATGGCACTGCTTCAGCTGGGGCTAAACATCCTGCTGTCATCACAGAGATGCTCTATCCCAAAATGCACAGAATTAAGGTCCTGGTGAGATGGTGAGGTGGGGAAGCACAGGGCCTGCGGTCACTGCTACATTGGTACATCCCAGCAGTCACCCACAGAGAACACTCACTGAAGAGATTCTCTTATTTTCATGAAAACCTGGAAAAGTAGATCTCAGAAGGTTTTTTTTCTATTTCTAACTTTTGCAAAGATTAAAGCTATCAAGTGTTAAAAGCACCAGTTTAGTTAAAAAAAAAAGAAAAAGGGAAAAAAAAGCTGAGAAACAAAAAAAACCTCCAAAGCCCACAAAGCCTCTGTGGAGCTGGCAGAAGACAGAGCACAATAATAGCAGCACTGGCTGATTCCATCTCCTGTGTCATCCCACATGTTGGGTTTATCCCAGTGGGACAGGAAAGCCTAGAAAGTCCAAACTGCCATATTTCGGGACAAACCATATAGAAAATAAATACATGAGATAAATAAAACACTGCCAGAAAGTGATGAATTCGTGGGACAGAGACCTGAGGTGATGCTGGTCGCTCATGATGCTGAGGACACTGCCCAGCCTGTCTGGGGCAGGGAAGAAAGGGAAACACACACCTACTTTATTTTTTCAGGAATCCCTGGCTGTGTGGCCCCCGTTTCAGCAGAGAATTCCTGCACCCTCAGAGTTTGAACTGGCTGAATCCCTGCAGGGTCAGAGCCAGCAGCTCTGTCGCTGGCCAGGACCCATCGTCCCTTTAGCAGTGATGCGGTGAGTGAGACCCCGTGCCAAGCCCAGATGGAGTTGTTCCCCAAGCAGATTCCTTCCTCCATGTCCTTTTATTTATTCTTTTCTTCTTCTTTTCAGCACTTACTTATTTGCAGATTTGTCAGCATGATGGGTGGCATCCCAGTGGCAGTTTGTGTTGGCTTTTCAGGGCTGCTTGGGGTTCCTATGCCGTGGGGGACAACTATGTGGGGATGGGGCCAGGCAGCACAAACTGTGAGGTGGGGGGAGCCTGGGCTGGGGGTTCAGCACTGGAAGCTTGAGGAAAGAAAATTGAATTCATGTTTGTGAATGGAAATGGCTTTGCAGGAAAAATCCTGGAGAGAATGGGGTGGCTGGTGTTGCTGCTGTCGCGTCATCTGTCCCTGCAGAACCTCACTGCTCCTGACCGGGGTTATTGTGCTGCCTAATTGCTTTTGGATGGTGTTCAGGCAGCAAAGTGGGGCAGCAGCAACTCTCCAGGCTGGTTTAACTCTTCTGTGGGGTGTAATTTCTGGTTGGTTACATGGGGAGGCGAGCTGGGAGATGGGAGACGGGGTGGGCAGCAGTGGGGCTGGAGCCAAGGGGAGCAGGAGCTGTAGCAACACCGGACAGTAGGACCTTGGAGGTGGACAGGAGCTAAGTGAGCATTGAGTGCAACCAGAAAAAGGATTTTACTAAAAAAAAAGTGAGGTTAAAACCTGCAGTTCAGTGTGGAAGGACAAGAGATGGCTTCAAGGGGTTTGGAATAACGGGATGGAGCAACTCCTGGCTGGGGGAGCAGGATGGTCCATGAAGCTGTGCCGTGCACACTGGGACCCATCCCATGGGCACAGAATAAATTAATGTGTCACAAGTGTTATGAGGGAAGAAGGTCTGTTACAGAACCCCAGCCCAGAGCAGGCTGGGGGAGCGCAGGGCGTTTAAGAGCTCTGGGACCTCTCCTTGCTCCGTGGTGGAGACAGTGTTAATCGTTTGGGCTTAGCGGTGTGCAGCGGATGCCGGGGAGGAACAGGAGGGCTGTTATAAGCAGGAGGAAATGGTTTGCTGTCTAGATGGGCTTAACACAATATAAACTACATGGTGCACAAGGAAAGTTAAATCCTGAAGTGGTGAAGGAGCTGGAGTCACCCAGCACAGCAGTGCAGGTGTGAGTGGGGTGAGGGGTTTCCTCATGGTAGTGGTTGGAGCTAATGCTGAAGCACAGTGCCCATGTGCCTTTTCCTTCAGCCACAAAGGCATCTGCAATGACAACTGTGAGGCAGTTGTGTTGTTTTTCCCTTCCTGATACTTTGACACCATCCTTTTTTTCCAGACTAAAATTTCAGAACCATCTAGAAAGGAGACTGGGAGCAGAGGTGATCCAAACCCAAGCCAGGGGCTTCCTGCTGGGTGCCATCAGTATCTGGCTCTGCCCAGCTCATCCATGTGACATGTCCCTCCCTTTCTCCTTCCCTCCATCTTTACCTGGCTCCACATGGCATATGGAGGAACCTGGATGGGGAAAATTCAAGTTGCCTGGGTGCATTTTCCCAGACTGTTGATGTGGGCAGACACGGTAAGGGCAGGGTCTGCCTTCCTTATAGATGCCCTTCACAAGCTCTTTCTTAGACAAGTTGTTTGGCTAGAAAAAACATAGGATTTTTTTGTGTTGGGGAAAACCTGTCCAGACTCTGAGAAAAATTGGTAAAACAGTATTTTAATTATAATTCATTATGCAGTGTCTTGTTCTGGAATTGCACCTTTGGCCAGGGTACATCTCGCCAAAGATGTTGTGGTAGTGCCCCAAGCCTTCATCTTGGTTCTCATTTAGCTTAGAAATGTAATTAAAGGAGGGTAAAAAAGGAAGCAACAGTTACTGACTCTTGAAAAGTGAAGGGTTTAGGCCAGACTCCTGCTAGGAAAATAAACAGAATTTCATTTTCTTGTTTCAAGTTCTTCCCATATATTGAATTTCCGTGCTCGGTGACAAGGGGGATCTGCCCGAGTGAGCAGCAATTGGATTCAGATGGCTTTGAGTTGCACTTGGATTTGCTTTGGAAAGCTTGACCTGTCCTTGGAGAGCAGGGTTTGGCCCTGAGCTTGGGGCCTTGTTCTCTAAAGAGCACAGACCTTGCAGTCTGAGTTATCAAGCTGTAACTTTTCATGGCTGTGCCTGGAAATAGTTTT